AAGTATTTTTGATTTGTCTTTGAAATTAGAGCAAGTATCTACGAGAACCTACCTACCCTAAGGAATTCGTCTGTGTAAATATCCTTTAAAGTAGTGCCATCCCACCATTGAGAGGTAGGTAGCACCACCGTTGGAGGTGTTCGGGTCAATTCGAGTTTGTAGGGACATGGTGATCACCAGAGCAATGGGAAGACACCTTAGAAGCTACCCTCATGCCAGGTTCCCGGATCATGAGGACTTACTAAGACATCCTCTACTCGACGATCACCTTTCGAGGCAAGGCAACAGTGAGGCGTACCCTAGGGGTGGTGTGTGCGATTCGTGTGTCAGATTCATTTGTATTTGTCTTGTCATGTTATCGGTGTTCTACGCGTTTAATTTTAAGGCCATTCATTCTTGCATGCTTTGTTTAACAGTTAAAAGGTGCGGAAAAGTAAATCTAAAGCTATTACAAATGGCGCGGGTCCACATCGCCAAAATTAACCAGGACCCGATTTGACGGAAAATAAAGAAAGTAAAAGAATTAAAAGTGCGAGAAGTGATTACAAGGCTTCGGGAGAGGTACATAAAATTTTTAAGCGAAATAAAATAAATATGCGAACGAATAAGAAATTAAACGAATCGAGGGCGTTGGACCCTTTTGCAAAATATTAAAATTAATGAGGAATCAAAATTAAAATTAAAAGAAAGCAAGAATTTGTTTTTTTGGTATTTTATGTTTTTTAGGTTTTAATAGAAAAAGGAATTAATCAAAATTAAAATAAAACGCTAAACCTAATTCTAACTATTTTTAATTTATTAAGAAAAATATTGAAGTTTTTTAACCTAAAGGAAACCTAATTTTTACATGCAAATTTAATTACAAAAATAAATAAAATAAACAAATATTATTATAAGAAAGAAAAATTAAATTTGAATAAAAAAACATTAATTAAACCTAATTCTACTTCTTTTTAGATTTTTTTATTAAAAGCATTTAAATTAAACCCTAATTTATACTAAATTCAATTATATACAATTTGTTTATAAAAATAATTAAAATAAAATACTTAGTATATTTTGCTCTTTTTCTGATTTTTTATGATATTTTGTATTTTATAAAATAATTAATTAAGCAAACAGTAATTAAAAGAAAAAATAAAAATTATAACAAGAATAAAAAATAGAGAAAATTAAGAGAAGTTGCAAACCACAGGGGTATCAGGCCCCAGGTAGGAGGTGTAGTTTAGCAATTCAGGCCCATTTGACCTTGGCCTTGTTGGACTTTTTTATTCACATGCTGGCATGTTGACTCAAGCCTATAGCGTTCATCAATTTTCAGCCTTTAATCTGATCTCCAGGAACACGTGGATGGCTGGATCTTGAGGTGTATGGTGCGTCTGCAGCCTGGAAGCGCATAGGAATTGCTAATGAAAAATAATATTGAAACAGGTAAGACCTGGGGCTCGAACCCAGGTCATGGATATTGCCAATGCTTTCTCCAACCAACTGTGCCAACTAACGCGTTTGATATATAAATAAACAACAATTAATAAAAAGGAAAACGTGGGTTAGTGCTTGGAAACGCGCGCAAATTTCAAACCAGCGTATCACCTCTTGCCACGACTCCATCTTCTTCATGTTCCTGAAAACAAAAACATGAGGCAACGGTTTTTTATGCGTTGTTTTAGGCATGCTATTAGAAAATAGCGATTAGGTCTCAAGCATTCATAAATTAGGCGCGAGGGGATGTTTAGATTCGTCCAGACTTGCTGATTATAACCATGGCATTCTTGAAGGCCAATTTTTCTTGGTCTTAAAATCCCCAATTTTGAGTTCCTGCAAACCCTAGAACATAAACATGGCACAATCGCGTATACAGCACAATAATCAAATTAAGGCATATGGTTAGCTTCAAAACTTCACAAGGAACATGAATCTACAATCAAAATGCTATGAATGTACGTAAATATTGAAACACGATAATGAATTTTTCATGAGGTATCTTGAATGCTGTATACCAATTCTTTGCGTTTTAATGGTTGTTTCTGATTGGAATACGTTCAATGACACTTGAGCAAGCTATTGGAATGAAAATTAGGTCTTGAATTCACCTGCAAATCAGTTTTCAGTATTGACTTTTTTTGAGAATTTTTCAAGTTTGTGAAGAGCTTTCTTGCGCAGCTTAGAGTCTCTTGTGATTAGGGTTGTGATCAGGCATTTGTATTGAGTGAATTAGGTTAAGAAAAGTAGCACAAATCCAATGCATTCATGATTTTTGAAAATTTGATTCTTAAGGATCTTTTTAAATCTTTTTCCATGTGTTCTTGTGCAAATCATGATCTAATCAGTCCAATTCTTTCCATATTTGCATATACACGAAATATTGAGTCTAAAACATGTATAAAAAGATTGGTTTGGTTAAGTTAAATATTTTTCATATATTTAATTGATTTAATTGAATTAATATAAATAAAAATTCAAATAAATAAATAAAAAAATGAGAAAATACTTCCCTTTGGGCCAAGTGGTCGTGCACATGCCATGGATGATGATTTGTGGAAGAAAAATGGGCCCATTAGCAATTTTAGGTCATTTGAAGCAATGTTGACTTTTCAAAATATCCAAAAAATTTCCCAACTTCCACAAGGCATAACTTGCTCAATTTTTAAGCTTTTCTCATGTTCTTGGACATTTTGGAAAGGTCTTTGAGTCCTCTAACCAATGCCTTTGGTCCCATGTCATTTTGATTTACCAATCTCAAGTTATGGCCTTTGACTTAAAGTCCCCTTTTGTTGACTTTTGAAAATGACCTATAATGTTGAAATTGATAACTTTTTGTGAGAGCATTTCTTGGACTTGAAGTATGAAGATGATTTGTAGGAAATGTCTTTCTCTTCAAAATGAGCTTTGGATGGAATTTTTCTGATAATCCATGTGAAAGTTATGCCCTGGTCAATTTCAGTTGACTTTTTCAACTGGTCAAATAAGGAAACTTTTGCATCTTGATGATTTCTGAGCCAAATTTTGAGAATCAGGATCAAGCATTGATCAAATGATGTTTGTGGCTTCAAAATGATATGTTGACCAAAATTTTGAACTTTTGACTGTCAAATGACCATTTTGCCCCTACAGTTGACTGTAGTGCAACTTAGGGTTTTGACTGTGCAATTTTGTGCTGAATGTCTTGAAACTTGATATGAGGATACTTGTCCATATTTGTAGGCATGTGAGACTTAATTGGGTCCTTGAAAACTTCCTTTTCTTGATCAGACTCAAAACCCTAATCTTGACTGTATAGGAGACCTTTGCACTGTGCAACCCTTGGGGGAGATTTGAAGCTTGACTTGGCAAATCTTTGAAGAATATGGGAGGACAAATTTTGGGGTACAACAGTGTTGATTACCTTTTAGTTTTTAAAGTATTTTTTTAAGTAAATATAATTATTGATTGTTTACTTTTCGTAGGAAAAAGAAAGTCATATCTAATTGTGGAATGAGGAAGAAGACCTTGCAAGGAGAAGTTGGAAAGAGAGACATGATTGATCATTACTTGTTTGGATATTTTGCTTAATATTTTAGTTTATTTATATGTAACTTTGTTTTAAGTATTTTGATATTTCTACTTTACGTGTGTTATCAATTGAGCAAATAGAGATATGTTGACTTTTGCTTTTAGTTGACTTATTATGAAGTATTTTTTAGCTTTTCAAGCATACTCATGATGCTAAATTTTATAATTATCCCTTATTAGTTTTGATGAAGTATAGTTTTTTAAGCATAATTATGTTGTTGGATTTTTTTAGTTGTTTAGGCATATTGTTACTTTAAAAAGTATTATAGTTCATTTTGTTGAATTTTATAGCATTTTATAGAAATTTTTTAAAAAAATATTATTATTTTGTGTTCCATTAGTATTTTTAATAAAAAATAATAAATGTCAAATACTAGTATTTTTTAATAACATAATAAATATGTGAATTCTTTGTGCTTTTTATTTTTATAGAAAATATAAATATTTTTAAAAAATAAAATATTAATGAATAAATGTAGGATCTATGGGGATCTCCGCGGAGAACGGAGATCCGCGGGGAACGGGGATGGGGATAGAAATTCCCCCGTGACGGAGATCGGGGACGGGGAATGAATTTGATGACGGGGAAAAAGATGGGGAAGTGTCCCCCCGGCCCCGCCCCGCCCCATTGACATCCCTAAGCCAAACTCCATTATATATGTTGGTTGTGTGCCTTTAAGAGGTATTGAGCAATCATGTTAATTTTTTATTCTAATTCTTATTCTTAGAAGATCATTGACATTCATGTACAATAGTCTATTATATTGGGGAGTTTCAACAAGAGACACCTTCTCCTGTCGTTTATCATGAACAACCATGTACTACAGTTGTATGAGACTATGACAAATGTATGGCCTAAGTATCAGCCATTAAATGTGCTAATCAATACATCATGACGACCCTTCATTCAGCTCTCTATTTCTCTCTATCTTACAGTTTTTATTTTTTAAACAAGTATGCATGATTTTCTTTTGTTTCTTTTTTAGTACTATTATAACTTTTCTTTTATGATGCATTAATGCAAAGTGATGGTGTGGTTGCTTAAATTGAGCCACCGCATTCTACAAAATAGGGCTTCCAACTAAAATTATCAACCCCAAATGTTTGCGTAACACGAATACAAAGCTAGAAAACCATCTGTTTACGTTATTTGAAAAAGCTTTCAAAGATCAAGCTTAAATTTATTGGACTAAATTGGATTAAATATAAAATTCCCATAAACTATATAATATTAATTAAATACTAAAAGTGTTACTATAATGTAGGAAAGAAAACTTAGAGATGGCATTTACATTACACTGTTGTATGAGAGAAAATCTTACACACTTTCTACACAACTAGACTATAGAGTAAGCTATAGAGCATGGAAATGAATGGTGCTCTAATATCAACTAAACTATATGAGCTGAATTTATCATATACTATCAACAGCCCATAAAAATGAATGATCATAGAACATATAAATAAAACCAAATACAAGAAATTAGAATTCCAAAGCAAGTCAGAAGCAAAGTGTGCAACGACGGTGATGCATTTGACTGTTGAGATTTGTATTTGGAATTTTTACTTGAATCAGGGGCAGGGTAATGGCCAAGCCCAGCAGCGACTGCGGGAGGCACATTGTCGGAGTGAGGTCTTGTTGGGACAGCATTGTTATGATCCTCAACGTCGTAACCTGTTAAGGGCTCAAAGTATAAGAGTATCAATCTCAGCATATAACCAAAAAATTGGAGAACAGTAACAATGAGATGAAAATAGACTTACAATCAGATTTCTTCCATCCCAGTGTGAGCTTTTCCCGGTCAAAAACAACACGGTAACCAGTCATGAAGTTTTCTGCAATCAACGTCATGATACATCATGTTGATTCATGCATAATTTCGATCCCGGCAGCCACAGTCAAAAGAAAACTTATTTCTCGAGAAAGTATAGAAGACTTACGTCCAATTATGTTCAGCTCAGCACTCTTGACCACTGCTAGACAATATACAAGTTCACTCTGTAGAAGTAATAGGGAAGCGAACATGTTTGTTATATGTATATCCCCAAAGCTTAACAATTGTTAGATTCATAGATTTAAGAGGTACCTGCGTAGAGATGATAATTATTGGATCATAAACAGAAAAACGGCTTCCACCTCCCATAGTTAAACTCATGCTAGGTATCAGGCTAGTATTTGCATCAGGACTGTCGAATCATAAGAAAGAATATTAAGATTTGAATGAAATAACAAAGGATTAAAATAAACAGTAGTATTAGTTTTATAACCTCATATCATAACAATATTCAAAAGGGATCCTTGAATCGGATGGACGTCGCCTATCTTCCACTTGGGAATGAAACTGCAACATAAATACTTGAACGGTAAATTTTATCTTCAAATAACATCTAGCTAAACGAAATCAAACTTTATCCCTTTTTAGCACTTACACTCTCAGATAGCCTTGAATAGGTTGGATCAACCAAATATGTAAAAGAGGTTCCAGAATCAAAAAGAGCAGTGAATTCCACGTCGATTAGTGTTGTCCCTACACGGACTTGATCGACTGTGATGTTATAGGTAGGGCTGTGAGATGCATCCAAGAATAAGAGATGTATTCGCAAGCATTAAAATATACTACTTCAGATTCAGATAATCAGAGGTAAGTAACAGGGAATTACCACTTACTGTGATGGGTTCATATTAAATGGAGTCTCGTTTTGATCAAGACTTCCTTTATCTCCAAAACTTATTCTTCCAACGCCATCTCGTCCAAAACACATGGAGAACGAATCTGCTGTAAAGCCTTCCCTTGATAACACGCTAGGAACTGATATTTTCTCCATACCAAGTCCAAACAAACCATTTGGAGCAGCAACATCTAAGAACGATCCACTCTGAACTTGTCCACATCTGCAAAAAAAACATGAATTGAATCTTATTCCTAGTAATTAAGATCATTTTGCGTGATAAAATAAGATCCAGAAAGCTTAAAGATATCAGATAAGCATAATATGAATCTGTTTTTAGCAATTTAACAAAGAAACTTACCCAAACACAACATTTGCCTCAACAAGGTCATGATGATCATCTTCTTGTGTTAAGTGCAGAACGTCCTCCACTAATATTCCAGACGTAGAGGTTTCAGCGGAGACGTAAGAGACCATGTAAGGGCAGTTGCTAAATGTCCCAAGGCATTGATTGCGATGCGTGCAGAGACTATTGTTACAAGTGACCTTTTTACTTGTTGAAGATCCATTAGGATTATACACACTAAGTTCAAAATCCTACCATAACAATACATTCCATCAGAAACAAACCAAGGGTAACAAACACACAGGAAGCTTTTCAGCTTATTTCTGTAAGTTCTTCAAAATAACTTATAAAAATATCTTATATGAAAAAAGTTTAACTATATTTTATCTTGTTATGGAAATAGTTTATGCATAATCACTTATATGCTAATCGCTTAATTAAGTTGTTTATCCAAACAGGTTATTGACATACCATGGAAATCTCACTTAACGCAATAGGTAATCATTAATTCATTATAGTATTCCTAACTTCAAAGAATCTAGGAAACAACTAAACTTGAGTCACAAGACAAAACACCAAACAAAGAGAAGAGATGAGAGCTTACTGAAGCCAAGGCAGAAAATGCAGAACTATCAGTAGCTGCACATCTTGTACAATCACAAGGTACCCAAAAGAGGTCACTTCCTGTATCAAGTGCCACCATGAACTTCACTCCAGGTGTCCCTAGCTCAACTGTTGTATAATGTAAACTGTATTCAAAGAACACAATACAAAAAAAAAAAAAAAATTAGTTAAACAAAGAAAATCAAGTAGCCAATTTCAAGAACAAAGACTAATCAAAACAGTTTCCAAAATCAACACTTTCTAAAAAAGGGTTAGTTAAATTCAAACCTAAATGCAAAACCATTTAGTTCAACTTTATTCCAATGTTTAAAATGATAAAAATTGTATTTTTAACAAGAAAAATAAAGAATTAACAATGAGAATGAAATGGAAAAGGGGTTTACAATCCGAGGGAGCTGATACGGAAGGTGGAATTTCCGTCGGAGAAAGCAAGACCGGCGTCGAATTGGGAGAGTCTACGGCCGCGGAGGAAGCGGTCGCGGTCAGCTAACTCGGCGTAGTATTCGACGGTGCCCTTTTCCGGCCATCGATGAGAAGGAGAAGGTGCGGAGAGGGACCATTTCTTGACAGGTTCGGAGTAACGGTGGTGCATGGTGAAGGTGAATATGTGGGCATCGGAGTATCCCGAATGGAACAAGAACAAGATGATTAAGGTGATGATGATTTTGCTGAAACTGAACATTTTTGTTCTTCACTTTGCGAAACGTGACCCTGGAAGTAGAAGAGAAAGAGAGGATCTTGGTGTTGATGTGAAAGGGAGTGAGATCTTGTCAAGTTTAGAAGAAAGACAGAAAACTTGGATCTTTTTTATTATTAGGCTACTGAGGTGGTGCAGTAATGTATAGAGTGAAGTGAGTCAGTATGAATTTCACTGACCCACATGGTGTGGATCATGTCCATGTGACTGAGCCCCACATAACTCCTTTTATTTTGACAGTTGTTGGCAGTTGTGCCTTTTTCCATATTTTATATCAATAAACTTCAGGGCCGCGCCAATGCAGTTATGAAGTATTGTCTGTGCGTAGAATTCTAACGGTTTTGTTGTCTCCAGTCGAGGTTAAGAGGTATAATGACGCTTTGTTATTGTTTATTTTGAATGTAAAAATTCTCACGACATTATCTTTTAAAAAAGATGATTCGTTTTGTTGAGATGTATGAATGTTATATATAAATTATTTTTAATTTTGATTCTCAAGTAATATAAAACTATTTTGACAAACCTAAAACAATTACTATTAAATTATTAGAGTATAATTCTGTTTAAGTCAACTTAATCGGTTGTTGTACATAGATATTCTATTATAGTGGTGTGATTTCAAATTTATGATATTTTACTTTCTTTTGAAAGATTGATCTTTAATCACTGGACATATTAGAGTATATTAGAGTATGTATAGTGATATGAGATTCAATTTAGAGTTTTTGATAGATAGTACAAATATTTATAAAATTTAAGTTAGTTGTTTAAATAATTGAGAAGAGTTATTATAAGAAAAAATTATGTAGTCTAATCATTGAAGAATTGCATAATCAAATTCTATGATTTTTGAAACAATGTTGTCATATTGGTTTATACAATAAAATTTGTTATGTACAAAATGAAGTACATATATTGAGTATATGAAACTCACATATGTATTTATATTTATATACTAAGCATTACTAATTACTCTCTACAATATAATAATATCTCTTAAAATTTAACTTCTACACTATTTAAATTAATCATAAACTCTTCTTCTCTTTTAACAAAAACTATTTTTCTATTTTCACATTGTAGAAGCAGAGGTAATACTAAATTTATCAGAAAATTTAGTTCGTGATAATAATGGTGAAACAACTTCCATTTGATGAAGAAATTCAACATCATGAATCAATGGATTCTCTGTTCTTCGCGGTGGAGAGCCGGAGTAACAGCAAGGTAAGCATACATTACATATTGATTCCATTCCATCAACATTCTGCATAAATATTCACAAACTCTATCAACAATCATTCATGTATAATAAAAAATTTCACAATACTTACTTGTTTATAAGTTAAATTAATCTAAACCTTTTCAATGATCATATTCAGTACTCCATTCCTTTCATCAATATTTTGCTGACTGGTGAAAAATATAACAAATTATAAGTAAGTTAAATATCATACACAATACTAACATAACATTGACATGAGAACCCCGATAATAATTCTTAAAAACAAATCAATTAAATATATATGTGTCAGAAAAAAATCAAACAAGCATTCAGTCATAACAGTTAGAGAAATAAAATCAAACCTATGCTTAGAACATTTGATTGGTTTGAGGAAGTCGGGTATAGAAGGTGAAAGTCTAATAGGTTTAGGACAAATAGGTTGATCATAATTTTTTGATCCAATTATTTTTCTATCTGAACTCAAATCAACAAGGTTGTTTTTAACTGCTTGACGATGCATGTTGTTTGTTTTTTTTCTCTCACAAGTGAATGAAGCATATGTAACTTATGACTCTCGCTATTCAAACTATTTATTCTCACATTGAATTGATTTTAGTGTAGAGAGTATGAGTAAATACATTGAAAGAATAATATCCACACAATTTTCAGAGAGAAAGTTCCATGTAACATAATTAGAGATTAGTTGCATCACAATGTGCTAGAATTCATAGTATGTTTGAGTGGAATGAGATCTGTACTTGTTTGGATGAGAGTAAATATAGATTTGGTATTTGACTAAAGTATATTATAACATCATAATACTTGGACCTTAATTAATGCTTTTTTAAATTAATTAATAATTCAGTTTTATAGTGTATAGTACATTAGATAAAGTGTTTTTAGCATGTATTTAATGTAATTAATTAATTAAATTTAGTCAATGAAAAATATAACTAGTTTTTCATGACAATCAAATTTTCAGTGAAACATTAATATTTTTGTTTTTTTGTTTTTTTAGGCATTTTAGGTATACCTCACCGGAATTATGAAAAATATGAAGAAACACTTATTATTTATATATTTTATTTATATTTCTTTATATGGAAATATATATAGCAAGTGTGAGTAAGTAGGGAAATAGTCTCACATTGGATAAAAATATGGAGACTTAAGCATATATAAGTGAGAGAACCCACTCACTTATGACCTTAAGGTTTTAGGTGGATAAGTGGTGTGACTCTCACAAATGTGTTTATTCCTACACTATACATCGAGCTCCTAGTATCTCCCCCAACATAGTATCACGAGCCTTTAGTTTGAGATATAAGTGGAAGAACCCACTCACCTATCACCTTAAGGTTTTAGGTGGACAAGTGGTGTGTCTCTCACAAAGGTGCTTATTCCTACACTATGTATCGATGCTCCTAATATCTCCCCCCAACAATATATATATATATATATATATATATATATATATATATATATATATATATATATATATATATATATATATATATATATATATATATATATATATATATATATATATATATATATATATATATATATATATATATATATATATATTGTTTTATTTATGAATTTAATTAAAATATATTTTGTAAAAAAGTTTTACATGTCATCTAATGAAAATATATTATACTGTCATATTAAATTATATAAATAATTTAAAAAAATCAGTTTGATTTAACAGAATACATGATCGTTATTGATTAATAATATTAAATTTATTTGTATCGTCATTGTATCTTCCATTTTCTCTATAATTATTATTTGAATATATTATGCAATTTTGTTTGACCGAGAACAAATATTAATGTATTAAAAAAAATTTGAGTGCATTATTTGTAAGTGTACATCTTGAAGATATTTATCTAAAACATCTTGTCCATAACCTTAGGGTTGTGTATATTTCGAATTTTCTAGAGAGAAATAATATTAGGGCAAGGATCATCTACCTTTATGGAGTGAATGGTAGAATAATTTTAAGAAAAAAATAAATAAGACAAAAGAGACGATAATATTTATTATGAAGGAAAAAATATGTGAGACAATGTAAATTAGATATAGAGAAAATTAGAGAAATATAAATACTTGAAAATTAAGGGATCCATATCAATAACAGAATTGAAAATAAATTTGTGTGTGTGGCTTAGAGATACAGGTTTAGGTTTTAAGAGTATGTTTCTCTCAAGATCCGTCAATTACTTGTTTATTTGACAAATTTAAGGGGGTGTTTGTTTTAAGTTTAAGAATTAAGTTTTCAGGAATAATCTTTAGAAAATGGTTATACCTATATTTTTTAAGAGTTTGAAAAAAAACTATTCCTAAGAATAAAGGTTCCAAGGAATAAAATAACTTCTAATAACTTCTATAATTCCAATGATTTTATTCCTATGTAAAAAAGTGATAATGTTTACTCCCATCAAATTTCACATGATTTTTTTATAAAAAAAAATATAACGATTAATTTTTCTTGGGAATATCAAATAATATGTTAAACACATTTTCTTTAAAATATCTAGGAATCAAACTTTCTTATTTTTATTCCCAGATAACTTATTTCTGAAAAACTCTTTTGAATCCTTGAACCAAACGCACCCTAAAAGTTTGATGAGTATATTAATAACAAAAAATAGTAATTTTATTTGACAAATTTAAATAATTAAAGAAAAAAATTAAATCAATATCATAAAAACATACAATAAATTAATATTAAATATCTTGATAGTATGTAACATACATGTTGGTAGATTAAGCTTGCTTATGATGTTAATAATGTCTCGTATGCAATAAATGGATAGTGAATGATAATTATTTTTATACTCCACTAAGAAGAAGAGAGCAACAAAATCAAATGGGCGTGCAAATGGTATTAGCTAAAGCAGACAATCAAGTATTCATAGCACTTGAATGAAATACTAAGAAATTTTTATATATTTAATCAGAAGTCATCGATTTGATCTGACCCTGACGCGGACGTGAATAACTATTTATTGAGCAAATGAATTGGAGAATTTAAGATAAAGAATTATAGAATTGAATAGATTTTAAAAAATAGATATAAAATAAATAGAAATTATTAAATATTTATTGAACAAATGAATTGAAGAATTTGGATTAGAGAATTGAAAAATTGAATGGATTTTAGAAGGTGTCAAATAAAATTTGTATCGAATGATATTGATGAGGCGTCCCTGTGATGATTTGGGGTCTAGTCTAGTATGTGTTAAAAAATTGTGTCCCTAGCATTATTTTTGTAAAAAAATAATGTCACTTTAATTTATAATATAACTTTGATTATTGTTTTTTTCAAAATTATTGTGTTTGATATGATAAAAGTTGTGAAGAGAAATATTAAAGAGAGAAATATAAGAGAAGTGATTGATTTTTAGAATGAAGAGAAGATGAGAAAAGTGATTTGATTTTCATGAGACCCACGTAATTTGATTTTCATGGTCCCCACGCCTTTATCTAGTCCTCGATCCGCGGTTCGATGGGCTAAAATGTTTAAATGGGCTGGCTCGACTGTTACACTCTAAAATTTATCCTTTTAATTTTGATTTTATTTGACTTAGATTTTTGCATTCATCTGCATACATTTCATTAAAATATTATATATTATGTATACATTCAATAAAATACCATGAGTTCAAAAGATCAGAGATCAATCAAGTTATTATCATTCTAAGTTCCTGCATGCATCAACACGTCTTGAATTGTAAGAAAAGATCAAGTTATACAGTTGATTCAAAGCAGTTTGACTTAAAAATCAATATTTCACCGTTCAAGTTCAGAAGATCACAACTACTTCATTCTTCAACATTTTAAACGATTCTTTAGACATATGAATCTCCTTAACATTCTCTTCAATTTCTCTTTACAAGACAAATACTCATTATGCATGAAAGATCATCAAAAACTTGAATTCCTTTTCAATCTATTTGATATTAAAAGGAAATAACAAATAATAGACATATACATCAAAGTCATATTTAACTACTTAAAAGATCTGAAGTAATTCTCTGTTTTTGACTCAGACTAAATCAAAATGTCCTCATTAAACACCGCAAACTGATCCAATTAATCAAAGTAACTTCACTGAGTCCCAAAAGTTGTCCTCTAATTATCCTCACCCCTTATCTGAATTTGAAAGTAACTCAACCTCAATTCGGTTATACTTAAGACATATTCGCCTACCAGTTGATCTGTTAAATCATCAATCATCTGAAGTGGATATTTAATTCAATCATTACCTTGGCACCTATCGGTGATCCATACATAGCCTCATACTACCTTCTTTCTTCCAAACCAATAACACTGAAGCTTCCGAAGTGATACACTTGGTCTCATAAATTCCTTTCCAACAAATATTATAATTATTTCATCAATTCACCCAACCCTAAAGCTGACATCTTGCATACATTTCACAAAACAACATAACTTGATAGTATGAAACATCCATCCATGCATCAAATAGTTAGAATTCAAGTATTGAAAATATTTTTAAGAGAAAACACGTTAAACCATTGTTCCAACAATCTGATCTACGCATCAATCGGATATCTGAAACTCAAGTTATGAATTTTTGAAATTTTTTAAAAAATTCAGTTCAACACAGTGGTAACCAATTTCCCTACAATGGTAACCGGTTACATCTCTGTAACCCATAAATACTACGCCGTTATCTGATGGTGTACCCAGGTACCCATATATTGGTAACCAGTTACACGTAATGCAGAAGGACTTTCTGCCGCTTCTCGACACGAATATCACTCTTCTCCTCAACCAAAATCATTGTTCCTCTTATAATTTCAAAGACATATTACTCTGCCAAAACCTCAGTTTTCGAAACATCAAAATTCCAATTCTTTTCACAAGACTACTAATATCTTTGAGTTTCGTCTCCGACTCGCGATTCATAACTACCCAACAATATCAACAACATTCAACAACCACTCACATGATTCCAACAACAAAATTCACAGTGACTCATCACTCCATCATTACTCCTAACAGTGACCATACACACCATGGTAACTCAACACTGATAACTTCACAATCAACATAATACTGGAAATTTTGTAATCATTTGAGTTTGACCTTCTAAGAGTTATCCTACTTACTTAACAGGTATCTCTGTAACATTTGGAAGGTACACACCATTGACATGTCACTAGCCATCACATTTCTCTCTATTCCTTAAGAAGCCACCACCAACAATACTTGATTTTCTTTTCTCAGAGATGCATCAATCGTCCAGTAGACTGGAACCTTGAATTCGCAATATCCCGCACACTGAAGAATCTATATAGACTTAATAACATAATTCCAAAGCACTCAGTTCCACTCCAAACCACCACTCTCAAAGGTCACCTCATGCCAATCCAACATCTCGCTCTAACGACAAGTCGCAATCATCCAAAAAAAACGTCAAGACTCGCACACAAATGGTACATCATTATCCAGAACATCGCCTTCCATTCCCAGAGATGAGAA